TTCTACGGCGGAGAACATGGAAGACTGATCGACCAACAATTGCATTTTACGTCAAAAGTCAGATTGATTTACATTTTTTATTGAAATATATCGAATGCACCCCGAAATATATTGAGCACTCGCTGAATTGAGCGCATACACAGTGACACATAACGAACGTCGCTTGAAATATACTGCAACCTTCTTGGTTGCAGGCGAAATATAACGAATATACAACGAACGAAGTGGAACCGCCGCGAATTGCTTGTTCATTTCGCGAAAAAGTATGGTGAGGTCCTGAAATTAACCGAAAAAAGGTGTAGTTGTGTCATTGCTTTTGTGTTTGCGTATTGAAAGTAGTGTTATCTGACTACGCGGGACATAATATTGTTGGTTAGTGAAATGCAATAGGTGACATATCAGGATGATAGAGAATTTGATAACTCTTCGACACATGTCACAATAACAATATTTGACCGAATAGAATAGTTGCGTCTTAGTTATTGTGTTTTCCTGTTGAAAACTGAGTTTTCTGACTGATCTGGACGACAAATACCTGGTTACAGTGGATCCCCGGTTTTTGCAGCATGGGTGAAATATAGCTTTGTAGAGGTAAGTATACACAAAGGTTATTGGTTTTGGGAGAAGTTTGGCTAAAAGGCTTTGAATTTCAAATTGTATCGATTCTTCAATCTCCTGTTAAGAATGAAAGTTGCTCAGGATATTAATTTATACGAGCTGCAAAAACCGGGGATCCACTGTACTTTATGCAAACAGTACTCATACCGTACAGCGTTTCGAAATAAACACATGGCAGGTCAGTGGATATTTCTACTTGGTTTAAGTATATTATTTAAGTGGGAGTGCCGTTCCTCCTACACGACCAAATGACTTGAGATTTGTATTGGAAACGACACCACGACTGCGTCACTTGCATAACCTCGTCGCCGTTTGTTGAAATGTTATCTACTAACCCTTTTCCTTCATACATGCTAACCTGGACTCCTTGGTCGTGATTTCTGGAATCGAATCAATAAATTCGACGATTTCTGATCCAAAATGTCCAAGGGCATTTGAAAGGTGTAAGTATGGGAACCTGGGCCAAAAGTTGAAAAGTTTGCATCGAGCTAATCAGTTTTCATTTTTTACGGCGTCATTTGAAACTTTACCATAGTTAAAAGCAAAAGACACTGTTTGACGCTTACAAACGCGAGCTTAAAATGCTACTTTAATGAGATGTGTAGTTTAGATCCATATATCTCGTGTATGTTGTACACCACGGATTGTCGCCTTCAAGTGTGGCCTCAGTATAAACCACTAACTACTGTACTGCTACAAAAGTACTGTCCCACATTGTGTTACCACAGGATAAACACACTTTTTCCACAATACTGAGACCAAACTCATATGATTGGATCAACAGTAAATGCATTAATTGGTTATTAATCCTTGGCCTACAATATAAGCGAGATAGGGCAGGACACGTTTGACATAAGAAGACCGGCGCGGAGCAGAGCCGCCTTCTTCAGGTGAGGCAAGGCGAAGTTGTTGTCGCCGTCATGCTCGAGTACCAGCCGCATCACCACTTGAAAGGTGAGAAAGATGCTCTCGAGCTTCTTATAGCTCAACACATCAAAGACAGCGAGGGTATATCGGATTACATCATCCACAGTTCGACTAACCTTCGTTATCTGAAGGGATTGAATCGAAGCGAAAATGCCAAGATCCAGCGCATTCAAGTCTGGGCTCTTCGAAGGCTGACGGTGCATCACAAACGGTTTAAAATGCGATACGTTCCAGCTTGTTGGCATCCGACAGGAGAGGCTTGATGCTTGTCGAGTGTCCACGAAACGTTCCATTCTTCAGGTCCAGACTAACCGGGAAAATCGGACTGAATCACGGGAAAACGTGAAGGAATCACGGAAAATCGGACTGTGTAATACTTGAAGTAGCACCAGTCCAGCACATGGGATTGGCATTCCAAGTGGCCTGAGCAGATTCAAATTGGAAGAAACCTAAAATGTGAGTTTGACAGAAACAGCCAAAAATGAACCTCTCAACATTAATAAATGGAGTGATGAAAATATATTCAATATCAAAGGTTATCCATAATGGTACACTGCTCCATCAAAGAGTTCTACTACGAAGTATAGTAGTTTTCGGATTGTACGTGATTTTGTATGTAGATGTGTGTAAAAATGTAAAAAGGTACAACCGGGTGGGGATTCGAATCCGAGTCTCACGCTTTGCAATCTGACACTCTAACCACCCGGCGAGTTCGACGGACCTGCCGCCTGCCACCACCATTGCATGGAGATGTGTGGCTCCGCCTCCTGTTCCGCATGCTCCCGGTCAACTGCCGCTTTGCCTACCTCCAGGTTGAGCGACCTGACGCTATCTGCTGTACCTACGGCTGTGGTCAGGTGGAGACCCAGCACCATGCTTTCCATGCCTGCCCTCAAATCCACCCTGTATGGTCGTTCCACCGTGATGCCTGGAGACCCTTTGGTGCTCCGTTTACATGGTCCACCATCTCGGACCTGGACCTTTTCACGGTCAACTCGCGCGGTGACCGCCACAAGGACGCCGTCAAGACCCTTTGGATCCTCCTCACGGCC